CTTAGTTTTCAAACTCAGCTCTGATTTAGTCTCAATGGTTCGCTATTTCATGCAGAACGCCACTGGAAACTCCACTTCGCCGGTCGATCTCTTCCTTAAATTTTCCACCACAGGTAAATACGACTCTGAGATATTTGAACTTCTCCATCTGCTCCACTGCCTCTCCGTTAATCTGAAGAGAGCAACGAGCAACAGAACAAGAAAGCACTAGGCGTTCCGTTTTAAACGCGTTCACACGCATGCGGGTGACGTCGCACTCGGCTGCGATCCTTTCTAGGGAACACTGAAGATCAGTTTCAGTAGATACCAATAAAACAAGGCCGTCTGCAAACAGCAACCTTCTCGTCTCCACATCTCCTACACCGACAAACTCATCGCTTTGGCTGCTCCTGACTATTTTATCCGTGTACGACATAAACAGGATAGGGGACAGGACGCAGCCTTGGCGAAGACCAGTGCTAACGCTGATACATTAACCCTGACGTAATACACAGTTATTCGTTGTCTCAACCGCGGAATTCCATGTTAACCATGCCAGTAAGTTCCCTAAATTTTCGCCGTTGGGTGATCAAATTATGCAGTGCACTGTAAACTCGACGCCTATGAATGAAAACAAGAAAATGATTTCCAAACAAAGTAAAAATTATTCCATTTTTAAACCTGCATGAAAGACTTATATTGTAAAAGTATCATATTTTTACGTAATTTTACGCTGATATCCCAATGTTGCAGAGTGAGCTGCTAGATTTCATGCTGGAAAGAAAGAAAAACATAATTAACTTTCGACATCAACGTTCGACGAAATAGAAAATGTCAGAGATCGAATCGGTCGAAATTTCTAAGCAGCAATATAACTTATTATTAATTACGGTTTCTTCAAGATCAATCTCGATGTCCACATAGCGGAGAGTAGGCAACGGTAGGTATAATATGAAAGGGTGAATTAATGAATGTATTTTCTCCACCCCAAAAACCGCCATGTACCCATCAGCAGTGGGCTGATCTGAGAAGGTACAGGTCCTGTCTGTGCTCATATGGAAAATCTGCTAAGAAAAAAGACACTTCGACTACAAAGCCTGGCGAAACTTGTAGTGAATATTACACAAATCAATTTCTGAAAGAAGAATCGTAAATGTTTTCTTTCACTACGCTATTCATCATCTGAACAGAGCATATCGATGCATGAGGCTAAGAAATTTAGAGAAAATCGTCATTCTCACCAACTGGGCAGTCAAAGCCCAAAAAACGTTATATAAAAACATTGCAGAGATTTGCATATCTTCTGAATAAAAAATTGCACCTATCGTTTTTGTTTCATCGTGCCAATGATCATGGAATAGAACAGTTTAAAAACAATCTGAGCAAGTATTTTGTACGATGCGGTTCAAAACCCAACAGATCGAAGGTTAATTTTCAAGATCTCTACAAAGATAATAACATTTTTTGACTACCATGAAAGCTTAGAAAAATTTTTTAAAAGTCAGCACAAGTTAGTAGAAATGGTTCAATCGTGCACAGTCATACCGTACCTAAAGATAACTGGATGGCACGTGAGCTCAAATTGCTTGGAAATGCTGCTGCTGCAAAATAAAAACGATGCAGAACAGTTAAAAGTGCACAGGCTACATGAATGAGCATAAACAAACTTACCACAGCCAGGCGCACAAGAGTCTATCTTAGGCTGCTGGTCACAGTTTCTGAGGCATTGTTTCAGTAGCTGTGTTTCCTGCATTAAAATGCTGTTCTGCATTGTCAGATGTGAGCATTGTTCCTTCAAGCCAGAAATCGAATATACATTGTGATAACCTTAAAATGAAAAAAGTACAATACTGCCTTTATGGACTTTCCATATCTGCTACAAAATGAGATAAAATTATGCGCTTCCTGTATTTTCAAATTTATTTCGATGACATAATGTTCTTGCTTGAACAAAAAAATAACATAGAGTAGTAGCAACGTTTTGCCATCATAATTTATCATAAATACCTAAACAAATGAGGGGTTAGCTAAGGATGATATACGAAGAAAAACTTCGGCTGCTTCGAAACAGGAACATGTCATATTCATGCTTATGCATCCATGCACTGCAGTCGTCGAAATACCATAGGCAGAATTTAATGACTGGTAAAGTTATGTACTAATGGAGTTATGTGTTTATTCTACGTTTTCACAAGCTGTTGTAATCGCCATCTAAAAGTAAAAGTTTGAGTAATAGATTGAATAAATTATTGACATCTGGATCTCGCTTATATCTTTCTGTAAATTACACTGTTCCATCAGATCGTTGAAGAGACTGCACCATAACATCTTCTATATGTTTTTTGGAAGCTGCTATGAGGAAGAGAGTTCGATTTCCTGTCTTATTAGCAAAGATTACGTACCACAATGAATCTGTAGTAATCGCTTGCTTAAAATGGTTCTTCAAGAGCCAGAGAGCCTAACATTAATATAATCCCAAATAGCCTCACTCTGATAGACAGAAAAGCAATGAAATCTACAAAAACGAACGTGAAAATACATTAGCTTTAAAAAAATCACCAAGAATGACGATCTGTAGCATACGGAAAATACATATATGCACAAATTAAATTCATAAGAACAAAAACAAAAAACAGGTAGGGAGACTAATAATTGGCCAGTGTATCGCAATCAGAAATCAAGTTTATATCCGCTACGAAAAACTGATGTTCGACTAATCTTTTCGAAAACCAGTGGAGTATTGTTGAGTTCATGCAACTAAAAACCAAAGGTTGGAGATGGTGGCGATCTCTTGAGATTCAACGGCATGCAATACTCATGCCATGACATCATTAATCTGAACAAACGGTTTTTGACCCTGACACCTCAGATGACGATGACAATAACTCATGTCATATTGCTGTCATAAAGACTTTGTGGTATTTTTCGCCAGTCTTCTCAAAAATTAATCTGTTACATGCTATTAACAACTGTCACGTTGTCAAAGTCTGCTTATCTGCCCAATCATCCGATTATTTCGTAGCTAAACCTCCAATCGAGTTACTCGACTATATGCAACCTGTGCACACTCTTTGCAACATTTCACTTTGCCAAATGAGATTAAAAATCTTATTCAGCGAATGAACATGTAATTAATGTATTATTTATTCAGAAATTTTTAAGAAACCTTCCTTCAGTCAGACTAGCGTGTCTGTAATCGACATACATCAATAAAAATATAGCCATCTAATAAAAATGTCCTCTATATGTGACGGTGCAATACCGAATGTGTAATGAATTCTCACGTTCTATCGTGATAACTGAAAACCGGATGCTATCACAAACTTAATACGAACTTCATACTAACGTCATGAGCAGATCTGAAATCTACGATTTATGATGGCTTAATCTAGTGCCGATCTGTTACTCGAATTACGGTTGTGTTATGAATCGGTAAGACGGATACTGACTATTCTATAGGATGTAGCCTGACGATGCTACGATGTGTAATGCGAAGAGTTAATAGTAAAGCACTAACATCGACTTTGCTTGATATTCTCAATCATGAGCCCATGTATTAACTACGCAACGTTGAAAATCTGGCAGGTAATTAACAAATTGGTAATTTGCAAACCACTAGATCAGACGAGATATGACATAGACAAACGATAGACGGGCTGTGACTCAATTTTTTAAATAATGTATTTGTTTTGGTTGTTAGTCTACTCGAGAACGTAATGATAATGACATTGGTGCACGATACTGCTGACAAAACAGTCAATTAATTATTAAAACAATTATTACCTGATTGGTTAGAATCGCTAACCTTGTGACGATCCTCCTGACCTGCTTTGTTTCTCTAAAGCATTGTGAAACTGAAGTGCAAGGAAACATGTTAACGAAATAGCAGCAAAAATCGAAAGGCGTTGTGACTTTACTGAATATTTGCGGATTTTATATTCGTAAATATATAAAATACTTTATAGTAGCCTAAGACAAATAATTCATTTTTTACAGTAACTTAACTTTAAACAGTACAGTAATAGCACTGGCCAATTAAGGGAGAATTAATTTTTAACCTTCTATAAATCCAGCTTCGAGATTCGATTAAATTAATGACTGGAGCAAAGGATAGCAGCCACTACAAACAACGGTGGAGGCCATATTACTTGGTAACAATGTCCTGTTATGAGTTCAAATATGGTCGCTTAACGATACAGTGATAATCATAGCTAATAGATGTCTTTTGCTTAACGTAGATCGGCAAGAGAACTCTGGCAACAAACCCAAACGGTAATATTGGGGGTCCCAGCAATCATTAATCGCCAATGAAAGCATGGCAAAATTTTTCCGTCTTATCGTCTACTGTCTGAACAAAAGATGGCGACTAATAGGCATGTCGAACAAAATAGTACTAATATTGTTGCTGGGTGATACAAAAATTCTGAGAATAGAATAAAATTCTTCCAAAAATCATCTGGGATAATGATCATATGAAAAATGTGACGAAACTAGTACCCCGATATCGATGTATCGTACATTTAAACACCGGCGATCTGCTCTGCATTTAGAGCCATCGAATCTCAACAATTCCTTTCATCAAGAAAGCACATGATCAATGTTAATTTTCATCAACATTTGGTTAATTACCTGCTCGAGCTTGGTGAAATATTTCATATTTTAAAAATAATTATGACCAAAAAAATCATTCTTTCAGCAATCGACAACGACCAATGAAATGACAAACAGACAATAGGGGAAAGCAGTGATTAAAACACAAATAAGAAAATCGCACCTGCAAAATATTATTCTCTGCATGGTTTACGGTCGCTGTATCACCGCCGCTCCCGGCTCGTATGGAAGAACCAGAATAAAACGGTACATTTTCATGGTTTGAAAGACCGTGAACTTCTGGAACTGCAATCATGTTGTCTTTGGGAAGGAAATACTGGCAAACTAGGTTGAAGAAATGTGCCGCTTTCCGTCTTTGCGCGAGGATGTAACTCTGAAAAACAAAGAGCTGCTTCAACTTGTCAAGCAGTACGTGTTCCCCCTGCGGATAGTTGTTCTGCAGGTACGACGAAATGTTCTTTTCTATGAGTCCGAGCCACTCGCTGCTGTTTCGCTTACTGCGAAAATCACAATTACAAACGGCAGATTTCTTTTCAGTTGCGATTTCCGGCACAGCAGCAAAGTTGTCGTCCAAAAACGTGATCTTGTAGTCATCGCCACTTATGCTGTATAAGTTCTTTGCCAAGTATAGGTCACGTGACAGGATATCGGGAAACAGCAGTGGATCAGTGTCATCAGACTCCAAATCGCAGGCTACCTGCTTCCTGAATTCAGAAACGGCATCTTCATTTAAAAGGTTCCTCAGCTGCTGAATACAGCTCAAGTGCCACAGTTCATTTTCCTCAGCTGTCATCTCAGATCCTCCGAGTTGGTCAACATAACATTCCGTCATTGCCGCGAAGCACAACAAAAACGGGCCAAGCAAAGATTGTTAAAATCGATACTTAAAAGTCACAAATTTTCACGGATAAACCCGAATTGTTGTCGACTGTTATTATGCAAAATTTCATTTCTAAACAAAATAAATCATTTTATAATCAATTTCGTAAAGACTTATTTGCGTAATAGACTGTATGGTTTAACAAAAACATAAAACTAGGCACAGTGACAGAAATCTGGATAAAATTTTTAAAGCACATCACTTCATAAGATACCATGTTTAAGTGTCAGAAAGAAAAAATTTTATTCTTTCACATTTCCGTTGAACGTGTAAATACACACAGACGCGGTCCACTATTACGACGGAAGGCCGTTTGATTAAAAGATATTAAACGAGATTAATATGGAATGTGGTTCTAAATTCTTTCGTTTACGTTTCTAGTCAGGGAGCCCTCGTAACAGTTTCCCGGCCTGTCACGGTACTACTGACTCAACAATGAGAATAAACTTTTCCATATGTAGCTATGGTTTGTGATTGCCAACGGTGACTGTCGTTCGTATACCTAAATCCGGATGGAAGCAAAGTGTAATGTATTTAATATCGGAAGAATCAAAGGATGACTCACAAGTAAACGGAGACTTTTCGGTGCGCATGCTAAAATAATTCCTATGAAACTCCGTACCCATTTGCTAGCCCACACTATGCTTATCAAGAGATAAATCACTATAAAATAACAAAACTGTTATATTTTCTATTGGTTCTGATTCAGACCTTGGAAAATAATACCGACAAAAAGTTTTCCTTAAATTGATTGGCGCAAAAATGCAGAAATATATAATATCAAATTTATGCTTAGAATACTGCGAATCATTAGATTCGTTTCATATCGTGCCACGCCCATGTTTCCTATACTTCTTCTTGCAAATTTTACACACTCTTTACAGGAGCAACTGAACAGTCTCGTCGTTTTGAAGAGCAGGATATATTAGGTTTAACATAATTCTATCATTTACACGATATTAAAGTGAACGTACAATTTACTATGCTGTGGTGAGAATGAATGCCATACTGTTCGCTCGGAAATTTAGCTTCTGCCGCCTTTAAAAATTATTATAAACACCTGCATATATATCGAGTGGTACAATGGGTCAGTAGTATGATTTGTATTTCAAATGTACCAAGTGAAATACCAAGCATGACAAACTTTCTCTTGAAAACTGCTAACTGCCTGAGCAAATTCACTCCATCGCACTGAGTGAGACACACGGCCAAGGTTCTAATATGTGCGTCTTACTGGCTGCAATTCAAGTAGACACACCTATTATTTGGCCAGAAATCAGTGCAATGTTAAAAACAAATAAAAACTAAACACAATAGGAGGGATGTTAACAAAGGTGCTTGAATATTCATGATTTCTTTCAATTCCCATTCAATTTCCCAAATAGAATACCTACAACTTCATCAAAACAGCCTTTATTATAGGAACAAATTGCTGACCTGCTGAACTACGGATCCGGAAGGAAAAATAAAAAACAGACAGAAGAGCGTTACTACATACAGCTTCTGTAGGCTACAATTAGGAAAAAGTGAACAGGAAAAAAATGTCACATAAAGCCTATCAAACGGACTGAAACAGCGTCAATGTAACGTAGAAATGAAGATAAGCAAATATCATAGGAATCATGTCAAAAGAGAGTTAATTTATTTAAGAAGCTGCTCATATCAGTGAATCGCAAGCATATCACGTCGAGAGGCAAATTTATAATTCTGTGTAACCATGACAAACAAAAAAATGGCTCAGATGATTCCTGTCTAAGTTTTTCCAATCTTTCCATTCTACCAGCGATAATATTGCTGGCTGATTGAATCTACCTATGCAAATTGTAAACTACGATAAGACAACACACATAGTTCTGCAGCGCATTAAGAGGTGTCCTTGGTGATAGCCGTGAAACTTGCGTCAAGTCATATGACTATAAGACGTCCTGTGACGGTGACAAAAACCTTGCGGTAATAGATCAAAATCTTAATTATGAAACTCAGCACATACTTACCTGCCAGAGAACAAACATATTTTTTGCAGTCACTGAGAAACAAAATTTACAATCAACCGCGTCAAAGGTGATAGAACGTGAAAAAGGTGTCAAGCGATGTGCAGTAAAAACGATTTTAAGAAGTGCTTTTCAGAAAAAAATTTATTTAATAAAACGACGAAATTTAACAGAAGAGAGAAGAACCGAAGAAAAATAACCCACTGCCCTTGAAGATCCTTAGTTTGCAGAACGCAGACAGCCTCCAAGTTTAAACCAATGACATTCACTAGAAGACATCATTAAAAATACTGCAGTTCGATCACCGGATACTATCGTTTACAAACAACTGCAGCATGTTCTTTCAAGACATGTCAGCGTTACAAGAGATGATTCAGCAGTTTCAAAAAAAATCTTGCATGGTCACAACGAAATGCGGAACGAGTATTTTCCAGATGTGTGGTGTCACAGTGTCTAAGAAACTGACATCGAACTCCGATGGTACCGGACTCAATTCTGCCAGAGGACAAATGTTGCTTCAAGAGTGAATTCGTTTAAGAAAAACTTTACACACACTGTTTCAAACTGGAGAAGCGAGAAATCCTGAGTTCGAGCATTCTGATCGAGATCACTCGATTTTCTTCCTTTCGCAACTGATAAACGAGTACTATTCTGTGGGAAAAAGTAAAAATGAGATAGTACACTATGCCTGCCGTATAGATGCTGTCGACCATACTAGCAAAATAACGCATTCCTAACAGATGATATAAATATGAGAAGTGGATCAGCGTAACCACCACTAACCAAATGAAAAGAAGGGCGTTAGAATGATCCCACTAAAAACGTGAGGAAGAATTCAACATTCCAAAAGCATTCTTACACCACATTCCACGAGATTACAAACTCGTGAAAATTTTTCTTTCGCATTTTGCATGCCCTCCTGCCAAAAGCCAATTCAGAGAGATAAGACGTCTCAAAGTTTCACAATGAAGCTAAAATTAAACGGGCATTTAAATTCACTGAAAAACAAACGAAACACAAAAGCAGAAACTGTTATTTTTGACAGAAATTTAAATCTTCTGTTTTTCAGATATATTTGAAACTTCCAAAGTGAAGCGTACTGAAAATAAGCTCAAGGCAGCTGGAAAGCCGAAGAATGCAGGAAAACCACGAATTCCGAGAAACATGCAAGTAAATCTTCGATTAACAGCTGTTCAGAACGTACACCAAAGAAAAGTGAGAAACTTGAACGATAGCTGCGGCATCACCAGGACTTAATCCTGGGATAGGCGATGATGTACGACGTTCAGAAAATGTCAGTTAGTAGATTATCCTGCGATCGTGGTGTCGATATTTATATATTGAACCAAACCCATAACAAGCTCTGCACAACTGCATAATATAGAAAACAAACCAATTATATTCATGGTTCTTATATTATATATTCATAAGCACATTTATAATCACCATCCCAAAAACGCACACAATGATGAAGTCTAACCAATCGAGTACACGAACTAAAAAATTAAAAGTTGTTTAAAAATTGTATCACTTCCTACTTAATAAACTATATTTTCGCTAATCGAATTCACCAAACATTCAATACTAATTAAACAAAATTCTGAGTTCGTAAACAATATAGTTTGAATAAATAACTGCTTTCATCGATAACTTTTCTAAAGACAAATCGATGGCAAAAATATCGTTAAGTAAGTCTCAATTTGCAGATCTATCAATCAATACTGTGTTGAAAATGTCGATTCTCAAGCATCGGCCTTTCGGATCGACACGCCAACCCTTCAGCCTATATTTAACCACGACGTTTCAAAACTCTCAACGTCACTCTTGTTATTTCACACTGATCGCTGTAGCAAATAACGTTTGTCTCAACCGAAAACGGTGTTTACAGGTCCAATTCGTCAATGTTATCAACTAAAAAATTGCATCATTCTACTCCTAGATACTTGAGAAATTCACTAATTTTAGGAGATTTATCAACTCAGCGCTAAGACTAACATTCAGCGCTATGTATTGACCAAAAAATACGCGGCACTGCGTTCGAACGAAAGCAGCGGTAGTTTATAAGCATATTACGATTTTCGATTTTCAAGATGCAAATACTACTTGAACTCTTTTCGTTACTACAAGTGCGTTCAAATGCTTCGTGTCATCTCATATTTATTCGAAACCTGTTATTTAACAGAGCAAACGGCACGTAAAAGTCTTAAGTTAAGTCAAATTTGCTTACAAATAAAATTACCACTAGCAGCAGGATCCTACAAATCAGGTATCATGTCACACGATACGTGAAAGAGAGCTAATAATGGAATTGTTCAAGGCTCCAATTGCTACAAGCCACTGCCTTTTAGCGCAACAACACAGATGATAGAAGATGATAATTAATAAACATTCGTTTTCAACAATAAGATCGTTCGCTGGTTGCATCGCAAATAACATTTTCATTTTTGCGAAAAATGTGAATCAAAGTTTTGACAGGATGTTATCAATGATGTTGAGAATGGCTGTTGAGTTGACCATAGAATGTTTCATCAAACCCACGAATCGCTTTTTTTCAGGTGACAATGGTTCTGAATCGCACAGTAATCATAGCGCTCCTTAATATTGAGTTTAAAACTTAACCATAAAAAACGATAACACAAATTGCATCAATTCATACCCAAAAGACACTTCTTAAACGAACGTTGAGCCATTGTCAACCACAGTAAAACTTTTGAAATTAGGCTACTTCTTTATCTTAAAAAATGCCCAAAATTTCGGTACTGGTCATTTTGTTAACTATATCTTTTCAATTGTGTAGAAATAAAACGTGTTCATTTTTTCCAGATATACTTACCAACACATGAAAAAATGCGTAATCTAAAGTGGCTGATTGTTATTCTATTCTGGACTTTTTACTGAAAAGTAAACTGGAGTGAAGTATTTAATCAAAAAAATTGCAACTAGCAAGGGAACTTACATTAA